TTCCGACATTTTCACTCTAATTTTCCTATTTTTTCTTTTACACAACCAGTTAGGGTACGCAAAACTTCTCTTAACTCATCAACACCAAAATATATTCTAATTGTCTAATCAAACCAAATCGGTCAACAACTTATGAGTATCAAGCAAGGATCAAACTCAAAAGACAAGGAGAAACCCAAATTCAGAATTCAACAATCAAATCAAAGTATTCCAATAATTTCACATTCAAGGGTAAAACCACATACAAAAATCAATTAATTATATGTGTACATAATTAATAATACTATATTAGCAAACCCTGTACTATAGGACAAATCTAGAGGGACAAATCAGTATCTGCGTTCAAGGTCAACCCCACTACCTTACAAGCCAATACACCCCATGTAAAAAAATCTCACCATTACCTTGGATTTAGTGTTGTCTTGATGGTTCTTCAATATCAACTCTCCCTTCTCAATGTCAACCTTGTAATTTGTTGGATGAATCTAGGGTCTTGCGATGCAGCGATCTATCTCTCTCTCTCTCTCTCTCTCAATTTTTCATTTTCTTTTCTAATAATCTATATTGTATATAATATATATAGGGAATACTTTATTTTGGTATAGCCTATTTTTCTACCATTTTTACCCTTACTTTATTGTGTAATTCATTTAATAACTTTTTATTATTAACTTCCAAATAATTTCTTATTATTAACTTCCACATACTGTATTTTAAAAAAAAATTATTTAAACAAAAAATATCATTTATATTTTCCTTGATGCGCATTAAAAAAACGAATAGACGGGCACGCGAGTTCCCGTCTAAACACTAATAATAATAATAATAATAATAATAATAATAATAATAATAATAATAATAAATACCTACTATTTAAATAATAAAAATACTAATAAAATATTAAAATAATAATTACAAGTTCAACTACTTTTAATACACACCATTTTCGAAACCTTTGATTTGAGCTTTTAGAACATGACGTCATTCAACTACTTTTACTTCAAATTGAACAAATCTATCATCTTGCTTGTCCTGCTTCACCGATTCATTACCCATTAAGACTATTAAGAAGAACGTGGTGGGAACGTTAAACATCCTTGGATTGGCTAAAAGAATTTGAGCTAGATTCTTGCTAACAAGTGCAGATGGTGATCCTTTACAGCATCCTCTAAATGCAACTTGATGGGAAAATGTTACTTCTATATGTGTTTGAAGTTTCAACGATGACGGGAAGCTGCGTCTGAGACATTGATTATGAATTATCACCGAGGGGCTGATGTAGAAGTTAGAATTGCTAGGATTTTTAACACATACAAACCCATAATGTGCTTAGATGTTGGTCATGTCATTAATTACTTCATTGCTCATTGATTGAGGATGGAGCCTTTGATTGCTTATGGGGATAGGAATGATACTGTTGCTGGAATTTCAATATTAAGACTTATATTTAGAGTTTCATTGTTGTCATTTGAATTGGTCAAAGTAGTTATTTGTCTGAGTCAGCCGAAGTTTTAGAAAGTAAGTTTGAGTCATTCAAGTCAGTTATTTTAGGAGTGGGTTATACAATTAAGGAAAATGGGGTAGTCGTAAAGTTGAGTCAGACAGTGTATTTAAGCTTCATTGCTTTAGGGTTTAGGGTTTGGGGTGTAATGAAGACAAGGTACCAAGGAAGTGCTAGAGTTCAAAAGGCTTAACTTCAGGCTCTCAGAAGGACATTTGAGGTGCTTGAGATGAAAGAAGGAGAAAGTATTACTGAATACTTTAGCAGAATCATGGTAGTTGCTAACTCCATGAGAAACTGTGGCGAAACCTTAACATACGAGAATATTGTTGAGAAGATTGTAAGAATGTTGACATATAAGTTAAACAATGTTGTGTGCTCCATTGAAGAATCAAAGGATATCTCCACTCTATCAGTTGATGCTCTTTAGAGTTCTTTGCTAGTCCATGAACAGAAGTTTACAAAACTCTCTACTGGGAATGAGGATCAAGCCTTACGGACCACTCATGAGTTTAATGGAAGAGGTGGCAGAGGTCGGGGAAGAGACAGAGGCAGAGGTCGTGATGGAAGACCTTGGAGGTGGGAAACTGTGGAATGTTACAATTGCCACAAACTTGTAAACTTCAATAATGAGTGCCCTGAATGGTATAACCAGCAAGCTTATTACTCTGACTATCCTGATATGAATGAACATCTCATTCTCATGGCAGCAGTTGAAGAAACTACTCAACAATTTGTTCAACAAGGTTTGATAACCAACAAGGAAATGTCAAGTACTGATGCAAGGGAAGGCTGGTGGTTTCTGGAGAGTGGTTGTAGTAACCACATGTGTGGTAACAAAGGCTGGTTTACAACATTTTATACAATAATCACATGTGATGTCAGTCTTGGTAATGGAACAAAGCTTAAGGTGGAAGGGAAAGGCACCATCAGGCTCAACAATGATCAACAAGTTCTGGTGATTCAGGATGTCTTCTTTGTTCCAAGTCTAAGAACAAACTTATTAAGAATTGGCCAAATACAGGAAATATGTCTTGAATTTCTGATCAATGGTGGTATTTGCAAGGTATTTCATGAGAAAAAAGGGTTGTTGATGAAAATTCACATAAAAAACAAACAGGATGTTTGTTCTTCATTCAGACACAGCAAAAACTCAAACAACTCAATGCCTTTAAACCATACAAATGGGGAGAATACACGGAGCTTGTGGCATAGAGTATTTGGGCATCTGAACCAGACTAGTCTTCTAAGCTTTCAGAAAAATGGTAGGGTGAAGGGATTACCTCAACTAAGAGGCTCTCTTGGAATTTGTTCTTCTTGAATGGTTGGAAATCAACACAGAAAGTATTTTCAAAAGAAGAGTCAGTGGAGAGCAAGTAAGAAGCTGCAACTTATTCATGATGATCGTTGTGGTCCTATCACACCAACATCAAATGGAGGGAAGAGGTATGTGTTGACTTTGATTGATGGTTATAGTCGAAAGCTGTAGGTGTACTTTTTGGTGGTTAAATCTGATACATTGAGGATGCTCAAAATCTTCAAAAAAAAATTGAGAAAGAATCTGGTGAATCAATTGTGTGCCTTAGGACTGATAGAGGTGGTGAATTTATGTTGAATGGGTTCAAAGTTCTTTGTGAAGAATCCGGGATACAAAGATAACTCACCACGACTCTTACTCCTCAACAAAATGGAATTGCAGAAAGCAGGAATATAATCATAATGAATATAGTAATATGTATGCTTGATGACACTAAAGTTCCATCTATTTATTTGCCAGAAGCAGTTTCTTGGATAACTCACATATTGAATAGGTGTCAAACTTTTGCTCATCAAGAAAAAACACCTCAGGAGATCTGGACTGAAAGTTCCTCTTCAGTTGATCATCTAAGAATCTTCAGGTGTGTATCCTATGTACATGTACTTGATCAATAGAGAAAGAAGTTAGACGACAAAAACATCAAATGTGTCTTCTTAGAAGTGCTAGTGGAGTCTAAAGCTTATAAACTTTACAATCCAGTCTCCAAAAAGATCGTCATTAGTAGATATGTGGTATTTGATAGATATGTGGTATTTGATGAAAGTAAGAATTGGGAATAGAACTCAGAGGACACTTTTGTAGCAACTTAGTTTCTCTGGAATGGCCATGAAAATGAATAGAAGATTTCTAGTACAGAAGAGGAACAAGCACAAAATTATGAGAATGATAAAACTGAAACACCATATGCAAACACAATCTCCAAAACTTCTAATTCCGTTGAGAAAGAGAAATCATCACAACCTCAAGCACATAGCAATGATGAGTCAAACTCTAATGTGCTAAGGAATTCAACACCTGAATTGGGCATTAATGTAAGAAATCTGCCAGCCAGGTTTGCTGACTATGAAATGGGATGGGCTGTTATGGCAAATGTTGAGGATCCTCAAACATTTGAGCAAGCCGCACATGAGACAAAGTGGAAGATAGCAATGCAACAGGAAATTTAGGCAATTGAAAGGAATGAAACATGGGAGTTAACTACTCTTCCAATGGGAGCAAAGTAGATTAGTGTCAAGTGGGTTTTTAGAAGAAAGCTTAAGGAAGATGGCATAGTAGACAAGTATAAATCAAGGCTATTAGCCAAGGGATATGCACAACAAGGGATTGACTACTTAGAAGTATTCGCACCGGTGGCCAAGTGGGATACAATTCCAACTCTTCCTGATTTTGCTGCCTCGCATGGCTATTTGGTTTATCAGCTAGTGTCTTTATACATGGAGAGTTTTATGAAGATGTGTATATTGAGCAACCACAAGGGTTTGAGGTTACTAGGGAGGAAAAGAAAGTCTACAAACTTAAGAAAGTTTTATATGGGCTTAAGCAGACACCTAGAGCCTGGTACAACAAGATCGAGCAATATTTCCTCAATTCTGGCTTTAAGAAAAACAGTTATGAGTATACCTTATTAATCTTATAACAAATACTTTTAATGGACACACGAGTATCTTATTAATCTTACTAATTATATGTACCAAAATAAATGTTGATTTTATTTTTTTTTATGTAAATTTAGTTTTTATTTTTTAATTTTCAATTATACCTTCTAGTTAATATTAATAATTTTTAAATTTTTAACCTTAAATTAATGATAATTAAAATACATCAACTATCAATAAAAATAATTTGATAAAATTATTATTTTATTTCTTTTATTATTACATTTTTTTAAATTTATGTGAAAATATCAAAACATTTATTTTGGAGGAGAGAGACTATTGATTGATTGAGAATTTTTTTTTTGCCATAAAAATAAAGTGTACTTGTTTAGTGACGAAGACAGAACAAGGTGTTCAGTGTGACCCTGATCAATCTTGGAGCCTTGAAAGTGAAGTGGAAACTGTAAAGATTCTGTTCTTATACTTTTCTTCATCTTTGATCTTTAACAAAAAACCCAACCCCTTCAAATTCCCGTTTGCGTTTCGCGTGTGTAACGAATATAAAGTGCTTGTGATTAGGGTTCTTATGGAGAAAACCGATGTTAAAGTTCGATGCCAGAGGATTGGTTGCAATGCTATGTTCACCGACGACGACAATCTTGATGATTCCTGTCAATACCATGAATCGGTATTACTCTCTTTCTCTCTTCTTTTGCCCTAATTGTGTTTATCCGTTGCATGAGCCTTATCAAGAACGTTCTAGAAATGACAATTTGTTTTTGTTGAAGTTGTGCTTATGATTTTGACATCGTATGATGTCAACTCTGACACATGTTTGACCTAGGATCCCAGAAGACAGTTAAGTTTAGATCCATGGAATTGTTAACCAATGTAATGTAATAGCTCAAGTTTATGTGAGCTAGGTTTATTAACTGAGTAATGATAATGACAACCAAGAATTTTGAAAATTTAACAAGAGTTGGTCCAAGTATAAGACTGTTAAAGCCCTTGCATTTTCCGAACAATTATTTAGTTTTGAAAATGGTGATCCATGGAATTGTCTTTTTGTTTTTCTGTTCGGATTGAAGTTTGATTCCTGTTTGAGCAAAAGGAGCATTTATTTTTTGGAGTCCTTGGTTTTTCGATGACCCAACACGTTTTTGTTTACGATCTTGCTTCAAAAAGCTCGATTTTGACCACACCGACGATGAAAACGTTCTTCCTCTAATCGTAGCACTGCCACGCATCCTTGGCACATAAGATCTTACGATCTAGCACTTGATCTTGATTTCCCTGATCTTGCTCTCGATTACCCTGCTCTTGAGGTTTCAAAATATGTTAGGCTGCCAATAGTTTCACTCACGTGGGATGTGATTCAAACTGTACATATACACACATATACTACTTACTACAGATTCATGAAGTTGGAAATAAATCAATGCTTATTGGGAAGGAAACTGGGTGCAATAAGTGCGCCATAATTATGGTAGTTATATTTTTTGTTATTTGAGCTTGTGAGCTAGAATCCAATATTAACAAATTATTAGTGATTCTATGCCCATGAAAAAAATTATTGTCATAGCTTCATGATTGCTAGTTTGTATTTGTTAATAACCAACTCTCTGTTCTTAGATTTTTTCCCAATTTGTTGGCACAATTGATCATATTATTCTTTATATGCAGTTCATTTTCTTTTTTGTTTTAAGTGTAATTAGTATTGTCCGACTGCATCTGGATATGCAATGAAATTGATGGCTCCCAATACAATTTTCAGCATGAATTGATGTTTCATCTTAATTTAGTTTTTAAATATCTTGAATTGAATGATTCATGCATCTTAAAGGACTCACACGCAGTGTTATAAAATAGCGGCGCCATGGCCGCTGTTGTTTTCCTACAGAGTGTTGGTATCCTCACTAATCCTCTTTTTTACCCTGTTCTTTGATCTCCCTTGTCTTGTTCAAAGACATGGCTCTCTCTTTGGTCACAACTTGCTGCCTGCTGTGTTATTAGTGGTGGTAATAGGTTAGACACAAAAGAAAAATGAGATAGATGTAAAATGGATGGAACAATTGAACTTTGTGCAGCTCGGCTAGCTACTGTTTTTTTTTTTGTCATTATAAGCCGTGTCTCCTTTTGAAATTCATATATGATATACTAGTTTATGTCCTTAATATAATTCTCTCAACACTCTGGGAAAGTTATTTATTTTGATGTTACACATACTTGATGAAAACCAGTATGTTCATCCATTGTTTAACCTTTTGGAGAAATATGTTAAGTGTTCATCTACGGACTCTTGAATTTGATTTAAATTTTACTATACATTGTTGTTTTATGATTTTTGATGACATTGTTTTTTTATGAATTAAGTAAAGACTTTGTATCCATTTTGTTGATTTATGAGTTATGACCCTTGTGCAATCTTACTGATTCACTTTCCTTCTGGCATATTTGGGGCTTGGACTTGTTGATGGGCATCTTGATTTATTCAGGGAGTAAGTCCATGCCTATTAATCTATTTCTTCATTTTTTTATATCTTTTGAACAATGTTTAGATATCACTTTTGCAAAATCATAAATTCATAAATTCACTTTAATTTCCAGCCTCTATTTCATGATGGAATGAAAGAATGGAGTTGCTGCAAGAAAAGAAGTCATGATTTTAGCTTGTTTATGGAAATTCCAGGGTAAGATCTCCTCTACTCCTTTTCTCTAGTCTGTTGTTTTAGAATAATGAGGAATTGTTCAACTGTTCAATTAAGAAGGGTCCACTTTTATGAGTAGAATGTATTGATATGGCGTAGACTTGATTTCTTCTTGTTTAGAAGGCTGAAGGGTCATAGAAATGTGTAGGCAAATTTTGTAATGTGGAGTATGAATGTTTTGTGCTAAATAAGATAGATTTTATTTGCCACTTCTGCATGGGTTGATTTCTACAATAATCACTTCAAATCTTAACTGAATTATCTATTTCAAGAACAATGAACTGTATTCAAAATCTATAATCATTGTGAGTTTCATTTGTATAATGAGTCCATTGTCCAATGTTAATTCATACCTTAAAGGTACTTTTTTTGTGGCATTAAATGATTATTGACCAAAACATGCGTTTTTAAATGTAATAATAATGAAATAGAAATCAGAAGAGGGGTCGCCTCATTAGCAATAAATTTTTTTCAAATTTTTCGTGTAAGATAATGATTAATGCCTTGTTACGAAAGTGATTTATACTTTTTGCTTAACCTTTGGTTGTAAAGTAATTCTTCCTTTTTTATCCCTCCCTTTCACTTCTCACACATGCATACACTTTGTCTGTACTAAATAGCACTACTCTTGTAATGTTTGCAAGTAAATTTCTCCCAATGTTGGTTGTGCTTCTATCTAACTATCTCTTCCAAACCTTTATTTATAGTTTTAGATCTTACATTCTGTTCTGTGCGTATGTATCATTTGAATTTTCCACATTTAAGTTTTCCAAATTTGGTTTATTGATTGTCGCGATGATGGCGATTAAACAGATTATTTTACACTTCTCTCTCTTGAAAAATTGATATTTGTTGCTATATTTTAGTCCATTTTGATACAGACAAGCTTTTTATAAACATTTTTTTTCTATACTTTTAATTCTGAGAAGCATTACCATTTTGTATTGAATCCATACTATCTATTATGGGATATAAGAAGATAAAAAATTTTAGGCTAAGTTTCAAAACATTATAAAAATAGGTATTTAGAACTTTACTGTTCTTCTTAAGTCTACAATTCTACATCAATAATAAAATGTTAATATTAGTTACCAGTGACTTGAAAGTTGCATGCAGAAGATTATTGCGAGGCTTGTTTTGTTAATGTTCACCGCCTGTAAAAGGATCATATAGAATAAAATGCTGCAAGTAATATTTATTCAACTCTTAAAGAAGGGAGTTATAGGTTTTATTAGATTTAAAGTGAAGGACAGTATAAATAAGATAATAACACTTTCTTAAGAAATGAAAATGTAATTTACTCAAAATAATTACACTTGTCTATTCTTTTTCATATCATTTTACAATGCCCTGCATCTATTGATTAGAAACTTCTTTACAATGAAGATGTAAGACAGGCAAACATACGACAGAGAAGCAAGTAATTGCACCGATTAAGAAAAAGCCTGTACCCTCTCCAACTGCAGCTCCCTTAACCAATGCGTCGACGAAGGACTCTTCTTGTTCTAGGTGTCGGCAGGGTTTCTTTTGCTCAGATCATGGTAATGATTTGTGTTTGCTTTTGGCACTGTCTTAATTCTTAATCGTTATTTTTGTTATTTTCTTCTACCAAGCCTCCTATTTTGTAGGCTCACAAGGCAAACCTGTAACTAAAATTGGAGACAAACCTTTAAATCCTTCTGGAGATGCATCTACAAGCAGTTCAAGTGTGATGGCTTCAAAACCTCCTCAAAAAATAGTTGACATAAATGAGCCCCAAGTATGCAAAAATAAAGGATGCGGTCAAACTTTCAAGGAAAGGGATAATCACGACTCTGCTTGCAGTTACCATCCTGGCCCTGCTGTTTTTCATGATCGGGTGAAAGGGGTTAGTATTATATATTCAATTAAATATTCTTAGTATATTTTGTAGTTATGATATGACTCTGACTTCTGATTTTCATTTGTCACATTATCTTACAGTGGAATTGCTGTGATATTCATGTAAATGAATTTGATGAGTTTATGGCCATTCCTCCTTGCACAAAGGGATGGCATAATGCTGATCAATAAAGAAGATACCAAAAAAGAGGTTCTCTTCCTGTAATCAATAGAATAACATAAAGGTCATGGTTTTGAACGGAATGTGTTTGTCTTGGCTTTTTAAGATATATTGTTCTTGTTGATTAGGTACTTCATTGTTTAACCTTTACTGCAAATTTTGTGGCCGTTGAGTTGACTTCAGACTCTTATTTGTGTGCAAGGTCTTTTATTGGTTAATTAGGAACAAAACAAACCCTATCATATTTGGAGATAATAGAAGCTAATAAAGGTGTGAACAAATTAGTGAATATTTGATTCATTTGGTGACTTAAGTTACAAGCAAAGGTTAGGGAATTAGATTTCTCATCACTTTTTAGATTAGATCCTAATAATAGGCATCAATAAGTTATTCCATTATTTTTTTTTCTAAGTAAATCACATGTAGTTTTAAGCTTCCTCCATCATAGTTTCACCTACAAAAAATTTCTGGGCGTAATAATGATCTTATCTTAAGATTAGTGAAGATCAGAGGATGAGCTCTTCATTTTGTTGGTTCAAAAAAGAAAAGGATATTGTTGTCTTTTAAGTAGATTCCATGTTTATGTTGTTTTCTTGAAAACATTTGTTTACAACACGATTTGATATTTTAAGAAACTGTACAAAAAATGTGCAAAAAAACAAAGAAAAGGTAAAAGAAATTTTATGACATTTTCCAATGTTTTGTATAGTCTGGTTCCCTCCCTCTCTGTCAGGAGGCCAAAGACCATGATGGTTTGGGATGATGTGAGTCTATGCTGGCTTCATTTATCCACTCATTACGGAAGACTTTCTAGAATTTAACATAATTGCATTTTCAAAATGTAACAAAATAAAATATATTTAAGAATTTAGTTTCTAGAACGTGGATTTATGCATTTTGAAATTCAGTTTCCAGATTGCGTGTAATTGTGTTTCAGGCTTTAGTGTTGGTGCAACTTAAAATTAAATTCTCACTATCCGTATACCTATTTCATAAATGGGGAGGGTTAAGAGTAGGGGTGGCAAAATGGATGGATTGGATGGATATGAATTGGATTGCTAATGGATGGATTAAAACAATCCATTAGTCCATTAAAATTCACTAAAATTTTATTAAAATTATTCAATCCGATCCATCCATTAAGAATAAAATCCATCCAATCCATCCATTAACATATTTTTAATGGATGGATATCCATTCATCCAACTTTTTTTTTAATTTCGTAAAAATAAATTTTTTTTTTTAAAAACAAATTAGTTTTTTATTCTGAAAAAAAAAATCGACTTTTTTTTCAAAAAAAAAAGTCGGTTTTTTTTCGAGAAAATTTTTTATTTTTTTTCGAAAAACAAATCAGTTTTTTATTCTGAAAAAAATCGATTTTTCAGAAAAAAAAAATTGATTTTTTTTCCAAAAAAAAGTCGATTTTTTTTTCGAAAAACAAATCAGTTTTTTATTCTGAAAAAAAAAACTGATTTTTTTCAGAAAAAAAAATTGAATTTTTTCCAAAAAAAAGTCGGTTTTTTTTTCGAGACAAAATTTTATTTTTTTTCGAAAAACAAATTAGTTTTTTATTCTGAAAAAAAAAACTGATTTTTTTCCAAAAAAAAAGTCGGTTTTTTTTTCGAGAAATTTTTTTTTTCGAGAAAAAAATTTATTTTTTTTCGAAAAACAAATCAGTTTTTTATTCTGAAAAAAAAAACAGATTTTTTTTCAAAAAAATTAAAAAAAAATTTTCAGAAAAAAAAATAGTTTTTTAATTATTTTTAAAAAAAATCTAATTTTAAAAAAATAAATCTAACGAAAATAAAAATAATTCATTGGATCATTAAAATATGTTGGATGGATTGAATCAATCCATGCATATAAATGGATGGATTTAATCCAATCCATTAACTTATTTTTTGTGTGGTGAATGGATTGAATGAATTTTTTGATGGATGGATTGGATGGATTTTGCCTTAATGGATTTAATTGTCATCTCTAGTTAAGAGGAGAATTTTATACCAGCTTGATGCTAGGAAAGTTGGTAACTAGGGCTGGCAATGAACCAAACCAACTCGAAGATAGTTCGGAATTCGACTCGACAATTAAATCGTTGAACTAGGTTCATGAACCAAATGAGTTGAGTATGAGCGAAAAATTAAGTTCGTTAACTAAATGAGCTGAACTTGAACTATACATAGTTCGACTCGTTAGGTTCATGAGTCAACTCGATTACATATGAAAAGAATTATACTGTCTTTAAGATTAAGTTTAAATATTTACTTCAAATCTTAGACAAATTTAATCTTCAATTTAGTAGTTTTTGAATTAGACTCTCAAATGTATCTCTTGAAAGTTGTGTAGGTTTTGAGTTAGTAGATTTCGAAGATAAATGTAATTTCAATATGATAAATTTTATTTTATTTTAATATTTTATTTAAAAAATATATATTTATTTAAAATGTCAAATATACTATATTTAAAAAAATAGTTTTTAAGTTCGTGAATCATGTGAGATGAACCTACTGAGATGAACCTAACGAGTCGAACCGAACTGTTCGTGAACTTATAACGAGTCGAGTTTGAGCTTAAAAAAAAGTTCGTGTCGAACTCGAACTCGAACTCGAATTCGAACAATTCTTAACGAGTCGAGCCGAGCTGAGGTGAGTTCGACTCGACTCGACTCATTTCCAGCCCTATTGGTAACATAACTTTTATTAAATTAAATAAAAAGTCAAAATTGGTCTCAAAAACCGAACCGTTCAGTTGCCAACTCAATGATTAATCTCAACGAATTAAAAAAAAAAATTTAATCCACTTTTTGTTTTTTTAGGCATTTAGCGAAATTTTTTTTACGTCTCTATTTTTGGAGATACGTATCTAGGCGCACCTTTTTATTTTTTTTATGTTTGATGTTTTTGGAAATGTATTTACGAAAAAAGTTTCGAAGATGTAATTTTAAAATCTTATCAGAATATATATTTTTTTTTAAAACAATTAAGTTTTATTGGTCGCATATGAAAATTAATTATTACAGATGATCAGTTTTTTCAACCCCTGATCGTCCCTTTTCAGTCAACAAACAATACCTATATTGTCTTTAAAATATGTTTTTAAAACTATCTAATGATTTCTATACCTAAAATTATATTCTAATCTGTTTACGGGAAATACTCAAAAATATTTCAAAAACTCGAAAATTTACCGATTATATCGAGCTTTGAATGAGTTGGAATGTCTTGATTGTTGAGATGAATGCTCATTGTCGAATTTGATTTAAAACATTAAGTTTGGTGGAAATTTTTTTGTTGAGGTTTGAGAGAGTTTGAAGAGTTTGAGAGTGAGAAGTTGAAAAATGAAGAATGGGGGAGGAGAATGGACTCTGACGCGAATGTATTCTGATTTATTTCGGAGTTATATAAACGAAAAACGTTTCGTAGATGTAGCTCCGAAAAAAATCAACATTGAGTAAAAAAATATGCGTCCAGAGATACATCTCTGAAAGCAGGGATTATGTTTAGAAGCACATATGATGCCTAAGAATCCTAAGAGGTGGGGTAAGAAATTCTCTAAAAAATACTTAAGTTGTGTAGATAAGGAGCTGCAGCAGGATATAATTTGGAGAAAATTTGAATTAAAAATTTGGTTCATTATAATTGATTGTTAACAACAACAACATGCATAATAGGAATGGAGGATTTCTTAACTCAACTCATGAGTTTTTTAGGTACCGTGCGAGTTTTCTAAAATATCCTTAATTTCTAAAGATATATCTCCAGACACATTTTATTCTTTTTTGAATTAGACCTCAATTGTATAAATAAATTTATTTTAAAAATATATCTCCAAAAAAATTTCAAAAATATATTTTCGGAATGTGTTAAATTAGCCTAATAAATTTACTATTCATCATCTTTTTAGGCTAATTTGTTAGGCTAATTTAATACATTCTAGAAACATTTTCTCGGAATTTTCCTGAAGATATATTTCTAGAATAAATTTATTTGCACAATTGGGGGTCTGACTTAAAAACGAATAAAATGTGTGTATTATGGTGCGTTCGGAGATATATCTCCGAAAACAGGGAGCATTTTAGGAAACTCACACGGTGTCTAAGAAACACATATGGTGAGTTAAGAAATCCTCTAGGAATATTACCACTGCCAACCTTTGAAGGCCCTAATCTAACATCTTACACTCTATAAAAAAGAGTTGCAGAGGATTTCTTCTCCAACCTAGTAGTCAAACAAGGTGCAACAAACAACTCTCACATTAAAAATCGTAAGAATATTATCAAAACAACAACAAAGAAAATCAGAACTGAAGATATGAAGATCTTTGGTGGCTTTGGTTTAAAATCCTAGTCCTTGGACTAGGGACCTTACCATCACCATCTTTGCTGCTTGTGTTAAAAAGTGGCTAAAAACCACTTAAAATAAAAAGTTTATGTGCCCGAAACTGGAGGAACAACCAATGATTTTATCACAATAACAGGTTGGACTCATTACAAGTGAGATCCCGTCAAGTGAAAAGGTGAAGCATTCTGCTAAAAAAATAGAAAAAAAAAATAAGTGGAAAGTGTGGTCCCAGCTGTTTTGAGTCAAAAGTCAATAGAAGAGTTAGACAAAACTCCCCTCTTGAAACCAAAAAGGTAACCCTTGGATCACAGGATTAATCAATTGGAATCACAAAATTGAGACTAGCTTGTTCTTCTGAAGAGTATTGGTGTGCCAATAGGAAGTTGGTAAGCTTAAGCTTGTGATCACTTTAGGGCAAATGCAAGGCTGAATTAAACTAATTTTTGAAGCAGACCATTAATCTAGAAAACTCTGAGTTGCCTCAGTGTTCTGATCCCGATTGGTCGAAATTGAGATTTTCTTCTGTCGTTCACTATCACATCACCTAAGAACAAGTGATAGTTCAAGTTTGGGAGAGTGATAACACATTTTGTGTGTGTCATTATGATCCATTTTTAAATAGGTTTTTAGTTTAAGTTTAATGTTTGTTTAATTGATTTTACTAGTTTTAA